TTGCCTCTTCTATGGCTATAGGTAGTGAGGCTGTTGCTTGGTGGCTGATCTACTCTGCGAACAGCTCCAGGAAAGCTGCCTTTGCTTTGACGATCGAAGGCAAAGATTTTTTTAATTACTGGCCTGGCGCAGAGTAGAAAAGGCTCTGGCTTTGCCTGTGGGTATTCATATTGACTTGAGTGTATGATGTTTTAATGAGCCCTGCCTCCTGAATGATTTGTTACAACTGTGTATGCTTAAAGGACTGATTTGTTTGTATTTTTTTTTTCCCCAGTGCTTTCAGTGGATGGATTGTCTGTTGACTCTGAGGCGGATTTAAGGTTTTTTTCCAGACAAACCAGGATGTCAAAAATCTCCAAGGCAGCAAAGGCGGTGAAGAAACTGGATTCAGGCAATGTAATCCGGGCTATAGTGAGGTCAGGACAGGCTGCTCCGGGTCCCCCCCTGGGCCCCATCCTGGGACAGGTAAATTAACATCTATTTCACTTCATGTTCTTTCAGTTTGTTCAGAGTAGTCTTGAATATTAACCCAATTGTGGGAGCCTTGCTTCGTTTTATTAGCCAGCCTCTCTCTCACAGCTTCCATTAACTATCAGGGAGTCCAATCTTTTCCTATTTTCACTTTGCCAATCACACACACACCCCCTCCCCCCCCCATCTCCCTCGGTGACCTCACGCTGCGGCTCCACATACACCTCCATCTCCTCCTATAGCACTGTTTAGATATCTTATTCTAGTCGCACATTTCTAGCGCGCAGGTGTGTGCCACACACTTGCCTCCGCTTGCAACACTTTTATCAGTTTCCAGGCTAAAGACACTAACGCCTCCATCAGCACCAGCTGTCTATAAACATTAGCTTCACTTCTCACAGATCTGTAGATGAAATTGGACTGAACGTTTGATGGTTTCAGCCTAAATTCTAATGTTTGTCTTTCTGCTTCAGTTGCTCCGCAGAGACAGCTGAGATTGTCTGGGTTTTGTTATTACTCATGGATGCACAGCTGAAACTTTTTCTTCACTGATGCCAATTTAAACCAGAAAAATGTATGTGCTTGCTGCTGCTACAGTAACAAGAAAAGTCAGCAGTCCTCAAACAATGAGTGCTAGGCGAGGTACTATATTTTCTCTGAAGAGAAAAAAAATCTTTTGTGTCTCAGATGTGTTTTTTCGACAGTTCCAGAAGATATAGAAAGTCTGCAAAACCCCAATAGAGGCCGGAGGTGTGGAATTTGACTTTTCTTGACTATACATTAAAAGGTTTTGGCTTTGATGACTTTGGTCCCACCTCCCTAAAATGCAAGGGGCAATATTTATTAAACACCTCAGCGTGCCATTTTAGTCTCAAATGCTGAGGATTTGTGGAATTTATCCCTGATCTCTAACTTAAGAATCAAACCTATTTATCAACTTTTTGCAAATCTAAGAATCACTCCTACTCCTCCAAATATTTAAGAGGCCCCCATAGCAAGGGCGAAGCTAGATGGGGGGGTCAGTGGTAGCCATGGCAACCCTTAGCTAGTCATTGGCCAACCATGTGGCCACCCCTACTATTTTTCCCAATTTTTTAAATATATTTTTCATATTTTAACAATTACTTGACAACAAAAACCATGTGGTTAATTATACACATCATTATACTAACATTAAAGATTATAATTCCTGCTCTTTTCAGAACTAGATTTTGTGTTATATGGGGTAAAGAGAAAATGTTGTGTCTCTGAAAGTCACCTAGGAGTCTTCAGTGAAATCATAGATAAATTAATATTTTAATAAAAACTTAATAATCAATTTATGTAGATATTAGTACTTGTAAATATCAAGTTTATGCAGAATAATTTTTGACAAAAATAGGTAAGTAATGACAAAGGAAGATATGTTCTCTCCAGAACTCAAAACTGAAAGAATTGTATCCACTATATCTTTTATCTAGAAAGCACAGATGTTTAAATATATTTGTTAGCAAAGGTTGTGGGAAAGTATTGTTTGTCTTTATTTAGAAAATATGGATGTTGTGCTTGTTAATTTCCCTGTTGCAATAGTGTAGATTGACCTCGAGGTTCTGGCGCCTATCCTCTTTCGGCCACCCCTCAGTGTACATTGGTTATTACCATGGCCACCCGTATAAAAAATTTTCTGGCTACACCTCTGCCCCATAGTTGTCTTAAGTGGGTCGGAATTTCCAATAGAGGGTGGTATTGAGGCGAGAGAGACGTTAAGACGTCCCAGGAGCTAAATACGTGTCGGTTTTGACGACACAAAGCTGATCAAACAGTATCGTTTGGACAGAGAAACGGTAGGATTTGTATCACGGACCCAATAAGGTACGTGATCTCACCATTAACAACTTGCAGCAGAGCTTCATGCTGGAATTAAAAGCCATTACAATAGATTTAGCTATGATAAAATAAGTCGTCACTCAAGCGTTAATAAAATAAGGAAATGAGAAAACCAAGTTGTTGCTGTTTGTTAGAAATGCATGTAAAAGACACAAATAACTCATAGCTAGTCAGCACTTATGCATTACATTACAGCATGTCTGCCTTTTTTGTCCAAAATGAACTCCTCTAAGCCCATTAAAAAATAAATAAATAATAGTCCTGCACATTACTGGTAAAATTTCTCTGATTGCTGTGATTTCAAAGTTAATGCTCATAAATGAGCCACATAATAATGATAAACATGTCTGTTCCCCCTGCTGTGTAAATGCCAAAAAAGGGATTCAGTATACTTTTTGGTTTGTACATCAACAGGTCTAGAAAAACTTTCTCATCAGACAATAGCACTTTTTAGCAACATAGAGACATTTTTTGTTTTCCAAACTTAGGTGTTTTTCAATAGGTCCACCAGATTTTATTTAGGTGCAATTCTTGAGGTAATGCTGGAGCATCACAGCAATCATCTGAACAGCTCCATTAAGCATTTGGGCAATTCAATAAACTTAGAAGTGGCATACCGGTAATCTAAAATTCAATTTAGAGCAACAGGTACTGTCATAAGGCACTCTGAGATTCACACAATTTGCTAAGTAACTTTTGGTAAATAACTTTCAAGTCGAACTTTCAATTCCAGTCTTAAGAGTGATTTTAGGATTAATTCTAAGAAGTTTGTTAAATACAGCCCTAGATTTCTAAATTGTGAAAAAGAAAATGAGACCGAGATTAGCTTATTCTGACCTGTAAGTAGAACAAAAAAATTCTGGTTCTGGTTTATTCTTTTACTGCTGAAGCTGTTCTATTGTTGTTTTGGACGCCGGCTTTGGGTCCTTGTCCTGCTTGAGGAAATTTTTCTTTACTTTTAACTTGACTACTTTCAACTAGCATGAGGCTAATTTTTTCAATGGTGCAGATGGTGTTTAGAACTGTTTATTGTCCCTACTCATTAACTATAACCCATGAACTAGTAGAGTTGACCTACCCAGAAGCATGATGCTGCCACCTCTGTGCTTTACTTAGAGTAAGGGGACACTTACACTGTGACACATTTTAACATGTTTTTAACGTCTTTATCCAAACTCAGAGCCTAAAGGAATTTTAAGTACAGAGGAATGTTTTCACATGAATCCTGTTGCTCTTTAAATGGCTCTAAAGGCATGATGGGAACCTTCTTTCTCTGCTTTTTCTCCAATGATTTCATCAGTTTTTAAGGGGCGCCCAGGTCTTAATATCGTCCGTGACGCTCCATGTTTTCTCTTTTTAGTCCCTTATAAATCTTTGTACCGACATTGATGCCCTTTGATGATGTGACGGAGTAAATGTCATAATAGAGAGCATTAGAACGGCAGTTTATCTGGGTTAATCAGAGGCCTTTTAAATGATGGCAGGTTTATACAGACTCATACTTAGCATGGGTGAACATGTGTGTGTAACATCCCCACTTATAAGTAGAAACACTTATTTAAGCACTTTCTAGAATTTTAACTGTATAGGATTTATTACACGTTTATATTTCATTTATGTCACAAACACTTCTTTGAAGATGTTTTATATCTGTCACTGTTGCTTTAAAATCATTCTCGTGAAACTTTTATTTTATTTCTCACCGTAAAGGAGCAATCTTCCCCTGCTTTTACAGCCATTGCGCTATTAAAAGTTGATCGTCCCTTTCCAGATGGAATGAAAGCAGCTGCTCGCCTCGTGTCTGCACATACAAATGATGCAGTTAACCTCTTTAATGGACAGTACTCATCAGCCCTGAACGCCGCTGCATGTTCTGAAACCAGATCAATTCTCGCACTTAATCCTTCTGAGGGACTTAATGGTGACACACCAGACAGCGGGACGGAGATGTGAACAAAAACGGCAGAAAAGAGATGTGAAACAGCAGATAAATGAGCTGAAATTATCACACGCTTCTTTTCTCTTGTTTATAGCCAGCTTCTCCTCTGTTATAAGATAGTAAAATTCAACTGAAACCTTTTTTTCTTACTTTGTCTCATCAGAAAAACGTCTCGAGCTACACAGCCAGACACAGCTGATTAAAGCAGTTGCCAAGAACAGATAATTATGCTTCAAATTATAAGACAATGGGCATCTGTTCTAAAACGCTGGTGTTATTTCTGAGGACACTGACTGAAGGACGTCTGAGCAGCAGAGACTGGGAGTGAAATTACACACACCCAGCTGAGATATTAAATATTTCACTCTGCTCCCACCTGTGGATTAAGATACAAGCATTGCTAAATGATGCGTCTTATTCCTACATGACAGGATGTTGTAGCCGTAATGAAGGCTCAAAACGAGACAAGAGTAATTTGGTTGCGTTGTGGAAGCAGATTGTCGGTTTTATCCCAGCTTTCTCTGGGGACATTTTCTTAGCCACCCACTGAATAATTGTAGCAAAAAAGGCTGTTTTGTCGCCGTTATCACAACCACGAGCGTATATTAAGCAACTCATCCTTAGAAATATGCCTTTTATGTCTGCTTTATATGCAGTAATATTCAACATATTTCATGCGCAGTTATAGGAAAAATTTAAAAGAAAACTCTTGTAAATGATTTGTCTGTGTATCTTTGCATGCAGAATAAAAGGAGATATTTCTGATCTTGCTGAATTGATTTTCATTTTAAGATACAATACTCTTCTTCTAGTTTAGGGAAGGATGAGGACAGACTTCTATGTCTATAAAGACAGAACGATGACCCAGTGGAAGGAGAAAGGCTGAATGGGAGTACAGACACGACGTCAGCGGTTCCAATAAAGATTTTAGTATTTTTTTTTTTACTTTTTTCTTTGTGGATTTTATTTAGATAGCTTCATGTATCAGGGCCTATTATAATGATGTAGACTTATTCAGAATTAACCTCAAATGCACTTTCCAGTTCACGATTGTATATCTAATAAAAATTGCTCCAAAATAGAAAATTTATCAGTGAAAAACTAAGCACACCCTCTCTCCTTTCATAAGATTTAGGAGGAAAACTTAGTAAGCCGATGCTGCTATCTGAAAGTGTTTGATCTGTAAGTG